TATCTTATTTATATGATAGTTCAAGGACAGAAGCTTTTATTGTCCTTACTCTGTAGTACCCCTTCCTGCACACTTCACATCATGAATGTCCACCCCTTGACTCATTGTATGCTTACAGTGCCTCTTATCCTGGCTAATATGTGACAGAAATAGTTAACAGTTTGATCCGTATTTTATGTGTTAAGTATGTAGACTTGAAATGTTCAATGTTAGTATTAACATCATTAAGACTAGACTTCCACAGCTGATTTAGGCCAGTTGCCGCAGATCTTTGATTGAAGGCGTTATTGTTACAGTTTATACCTAATAGCATTGAGTAAATGAATCAAATATAAGATGGGTAGGTGATATCTTTTATACACCTAGAAAGAAATTCAAATTAGCCTTAGCTTGTAATTAAAAAATGGTTATGCCAAAAAGAGAAGAAAGAAACGTCATCGGTAGCATCAGGCCCCCCGGGGCAGTGGTAGTGCTGTGCTGCAGCTCTTGCCGAGCAGCCAGTTGCGACACAGCATCTGAACTGACATAGTACATCAGTATTCAGAATAATTTCTGTCGGAAGAAAGATGTTTTTAATTTTTACAACTCAAGTAGAAGTGTATAAATATACTGCATACCCCAAAGAGTCCAGTAGAATTTAATGTTTTCATTTTATGTGCCATTTTCTCAGCAGTTTTCGTGTTGTGCTGTATTACTAAAGTTTCATCATGTGGACCAAAGATTATATAAATGGAGTATTAAATGTATTAGGAAAATAAATAAATTGTTAAATTGACTTTCCAGAACTTGATGGAAAAGTTGCTGAAGAAAGAACTGGATTATACCCAGCTAGAGGAAAAGCACAGTGAAGAATCTGTGAGTAAAAAGAGCATACAAGCAAGCCTGCATCAGAAGGACCTTGACTGTCAGCAGCTGCAGGCAAGACTGGCTGCATCTGAAACCGCCCTGCAGAGGGTGCAGGCAGAGCTCAGTGAAAAGGGAGAGGCCGCCCAGAAACTCAAAGAAGAGCTGTCTGACGTGGAGACCACGCACCAGCACCTAAAGGCAGAGTTCAAGCAACTGCAGCAGCAGAGAGAAGAGAAGGAGCAGCATGCGCTGCAGCTCCAAAGTGAGGTCCACCAAGTAAGAGAGGCTCGTGTCACTCCTGTAACCCGGCCTCCTCTCTTTAGAGTGCTGGGTAGGGGTCTGCTTGTAGTACAGTTTATGTTTCTAAAAAGTTGGAATATTTAAAATTAAATCTAAAATTTTATATCCTATTGTGTGTGTGTGTGCGTGCGTGTGTGTGTGTGTGTGTGTGTGTGTGTGTGTGTGTGTGTGGTACCTGGGATTAAACTCAGGACCTTGCACTTGCCAGGCAGGCACTTATTCTACTGAGCTATCTTCCCAGCCCTGTCCTATAGTTTTATCAGATCTCACTTCCGTTAATTTAAATGTTCCTTAAGATAAACAGTACTATCACCTGTACAATATTGCTGTGAAGCATTTATGAATTACATCGTATAAATTGCTTAAAAGTAGGTGTGGTGGCGCTCTAGAGGCTGAGGCTGGAATACCTTATGACTCTATCTCCAAGAACCAAAAAAAAGTCTGTAGGGCATTGGAAATGCACACATACCGATACGTAGAATGATACTTGCCTTGGCGTGTGGTGTGTATTTCCTAGGTTATTTTAGTTATTTAATTCACTGTTGACCGTTCTTACTTAAAATTATTTTTTGTTAGCAACTTTTTCAAATACAATTATTATCGCTTCTCGGCCTTTTGGCTAAGATCAAGTGTAGTATCTGTTCTTACCAGTTCAAATACAATTATTATAAAGTCAACAGTATAAAAATCAAATCTTTTAAATGTAGAAAAAATTGGTCCCAGAAAACCTTTTTACTAGGTGAATATCTGTTAGATGAAACGATGGAATTTCATTTTTCATTAGCTTAATTTTTATTTACTTTTTCTTTTTTTGGTACTGGGGAATGGAACTCAGGACCTCAAGCTCAGGTGCTGAGCTATGTCTCTGGCCCTAGCTTAATTTTTAAATGTCTACTTTAAATATTGCTTATAGATAACATTAAAATTTAGTTGAAAATGGAAATTTGTTTTCTTTTACATTATGCCTTCATTAAATATTTTAATATTCAGAAGATGCTAGTTTATTCCAGTTAATATTTTACTATTACAGTTCAAAAGTATGAAACATGCTTTTACAATGTGATATGTCGAGAGCCTATTAACTATGACATTGGGCATTAGATTCCAGTCAGACTATTTCATTTTGAAGTTTAGAGTTGGGTTCTGTGATTTATCTCCACAGCCTTTATTTTCCATCTAGAAAATGGAGATTTGGTGGAGATTAGTTCTCAGCCGTTGTTTGGTGACATATTTAAGTGGTAGTGATTATTTTATTGCAATTAATTTTATAACTTTCTACTTTAAATTGTAATGATAATACTGACTGTGAGAGTAATTTATTAAGCTTTAATCATGTTTCAGGAATTAAATACTTCAAATGTATTGACATTATTATTATCATCATTATTATTATTTTTGAGGTACTGGGAATCAAACTCAGGACTCATGCTTGCCAGCTAGGCGCTGCACCACTGAGCTAAACCTTTGGCTCTTGGACTTTAATTTTGGCTCAGAATCCAAATTAGATTCTGAGTTCTTTTTTTTCCCATGGTGTTGGGGACTCAACATCTTCTTGAACCCAGGGATTTCATGCTAGCTACATCCTCAAGACTGTTGTATTTGTTTGTTTAGTTGTGCATCAGGGTCCCACTACAACACTGAATTGTCCAGGCTGTGCTCAGCCTTGAACTGGGAATACTCTTGCCTTAGCCTCCTAGCATGCTGGAATTACACATGTGTCGCACCACTCCTGCCTTAGATTATGAGTTGTGTGAGACACTGGATCAGAATAGTTGGGGATATTTGCTGAACGTTGTCTTTTCCTTCTCTATTTTCTAGTTTTTGTTTTATATTTTGGTTTTTTGAGATAGGGTCTTGCTATACTGCCCAGAATGGTATTGAACCTAGCAGCCCTCCTGCCTCAGTCTCCCAAGTGCTGGGATTACAGGCATGTGCCACCACTCTCAGCCTCCTCTCTATTTCCATTGCTCCATCCTTTCAGTTATGCTTTTGGGTCACTCTAACACTGGTCTTGCCTTTACTCACCCCATCAGAGTAATCTTCATGTAGCCACAGAGTCACATCTTTTTTTTTTTTTTTTCCATGTATGTATTTGGTACAGGGTCTCACTGCACAGCTTGGACTTGTAGTGATCCTCTTGTTTTCAGCCTCCCCAGCGCTGGGATTACAGGTGCCTGCCACCACACCCATGTGCCACCACGCCTGGACTTGTCTGCTGGCTCAGCACTCCCTGGGGGTGGGGCTGGTGGGGCATCGAACCAGGGATCGAACCCCAGTCCCTGCACTGGCCAAAGCAGGTGCTTAGTCCACTGAGCTATCTCACCAGTCCTCACAGAGTAACATCTTAAAAGGAAATCTTACTGTGATAGCTTCATGGTCCAGCCCTGTTTTGTTCTCTGTAATAGTTCTTTATGGTATTTACTACCCTTGTAGTGTTGTTAGCCTTTCTCCTTAGTTCTTTACCGTTCTTTAATTCATTCTGTACTGTAGTTCTTTAGTGAATAAGGTAGATGAGGACACAATAATGTTTCATAATCCTGACTTTCATTGTTTCTTAACTTCTATTGTTTTCATGCTGGCACAAAATACCCAACATTCACGAGTTAAGAAGAAAAGGTTTGTTTCAGCTCATAGTTTATCGAGGTTTCAATCAATAATTGGCTGGCTCCACAGCAGGGCAGCATGGCAGAAAACCATGACAGGAGAAATAATCCATGGCTGAGCAGGAAGGAGGCAGCAAGCAGCAGTCGCAGCAGTCGCAGCAGCAGCAGCAGCAGCAGCAGCAGCAGCAGCAGCAGCAGCAGCAGCAGCAGTAGTAGCAGCAACAAAGCTTCCCTTCCCTTTTATGTGATCCGGGCTGCATGCCTGCTAAGTGGTGCTTCCCACAACTAAGGGGTAGATCCCATTATCCATGCCCAGAACTATGAAAAACCAATTAGGGGGACTAACCCAGTACCACATACCTTTAATCCCAGTATTACATGTCCTAGAACCAGCCACCTCCAAAGAGCCCCACCTGTGAGTGGATGCGGCTTTGGGAGGGGGCTAGATACAACGCATACCACCTTAGATGGCCCTGGCAGCAGCCTTCACAGTAGCTCTGATCACACTTGGTAAAGACATGGAAGACTTTCGGAATTGCTGCAGAAAGTGGCAAGAAGGACAAGTGGCAAGAACATTTTAGATACTCTGAATAGTACGTGTTGTGATAGCCACAGATTGATTAACTCTATAAGGAAATGAGTGTCCAGTTTTCTTGTAGGACTTTGTTTTAATCTTGCCAATTGACAGTTTTTACTGAAAAATTCAAGTATAAACATGTAAGTGTATACTTATAAAGTGTACATAGTATAGAAAAATAAAACACCAAGACTTTTAGTGCTTTCAGATTTAATTTGAGTAATTTTGGCTGCAAACAGTTCTATAAAAGATCTGTCGTTAGTATGTAATGTAGTTTTCCTGATGCTCAGTCATGTGCCCATACGTGTTATGAGGCGGGTGTGCTGGAGTTTGCTTGTGCGTAGCCGGGCCAAGGGTCCTGGGTCCTGAGCTCCTTCCTTGTTGTCCTTCATGCACAGCATTGGTAGAGGGGTTCTGAGATGAATACAGATTGTTTTATTTCTTTGTAAAGACTTACAGAAAAAAACCTTATTTCTGGTATTAGAGGAAAAATACCATGAGCAAATGATGGCTCAGTTGTGCGGCACACTTCTCTTGTACTTCTAACTCGAGGGCATGTTGTTGGAGGGTGGAGCTGGGAATTGCACCAGGGCTTTGTGTGTGATAGGCAAGTGTGCTGCCACTGCACTGGACCCCAGCCCCTGCTCTGGGATATCTTTTTTTTTTCTTATAGAAATAAACAATCACATATTTTTACACAGAAATTGAGAAATCTAATCATATGCAGCATTGTAGCAGGAGAGTCTTTTGACTTTTTTTCTTCTCTCTTGTTTCATTTATTACCTTTTTTTCTTTCCATAATTTTATTGATAAATAAACAGCAATGAGACAGTTTCAAACCAAATTGGTAGGACACTTTCAATAATTACCACACTGCATATATTTCTTCCTAGTGGTTAATTGCTGTACAAGATGCAGACATGATATCCTATTTACAAACACCATTAGAACAAATCCCTCTATTCATTAAGAGAATGTAAC